AAAAAATTAGCCAATCATATTTGATTATATAATCATAAATTTGGCGCTTTTAAAAAAAAAAGTAGATATCTTTAGCTATCCTGTACTGTATAAAATTTTCAATACTAACAAGTATAGCATTAGGAAAGAATGTCGTGAGGTTTATAGAATCCTCATTATATATATCATAACTAAAGTTAACACCTAACTAAAGTTCTAGTACATGCAAGATAATCTAATTTTAAGGGCTAATTTTAGTCAAATGAAACTTCAGTTAACTGAAGTTACTATTTCAGTTGAGTGCCAACTTCAGTTATGATATATATAGTATCAGAAATTTTAAATAGATATAAATATACAATAGCGATATTTGCTTATTTGGAAAGTATGAAGATATTTGATTTTTTTGATAAAAAATTGAAGATGCTTTGATACATATTAGCTCAATTAAAATCTTTACAACTGATTATTAGTATTGTTGTCCAAGTGGCTATTAACAGTAATAGAATTATATAATTTTGTATATATAGAATTTTAAACCTTATTTTTTTTATTATTATTTTATAGAATGAAATGACAAGCTTTATAAACCAATAGTAATCAAGAATATATTACAAGGTTATGCAAATCTAATAAAGAAAGGGGTCTATAAACAATAGAAATTTGTGAAATTCTTACAAAATTGTAAAATAATAAAAATGGTTTAGAATTAAGTAAATAAAATGAAATATTAAAAAATATCAAAAGCATATATATACAATTATATCCTGATAATATTTATAAGTACAAGTTTATTAAAAATGCATATCTATGAACATAACTGATTTTATATTAGATATTGGTTTGACAGTGATAGATGCTTTTATTATTTTTGGTAAGTATATCTTTTTAGATTGAATTACAAATTTAATCATATCATTAATAATATTATTGCTAAAGAAGATATATATGAATTGATTTATTATTAATATGTAAATTTTATATAAATTATACAATAATAAAGGCTTTTATTATTTTAAAAATTATAAGACAGAATAATGTTTATTTTACAACTAGATATATTTTTATTTAATTTAGTTAGTTACATTTTTTCAGTATAGCTGATAAACTAATATTAATACATAATACTAATAATTTTGAATTATAGTTTTGAACTTTTTTGTAAACAATTCTTTTTGATATTCTATCTGGTATATTTAATACAATTTAGATAGTATCACTAGTTATTAGATATACTATATAACTACATCAAGGTAACTATATTACTTATTAATAAATAAAGTTTTTTATTTGATTTGTTTAATATTAATTATAATTATTTAACAGACAGCAAATTGAATGAGTTGAATATTAAGCAAAGACAGTGAATTAAATGAGTTGAATATTAAGTGATAATTTCTAGATAGATACTGATTTTTGTAGAAAGTGAATAATTGTCAAATTTCTATTCTAATTGTCTTTAAAATAGAATATTTATACTAACAAATTTTTACTATTTTTATTGTCATTATCTTCTCTTTCCTCTTCATCTTCTTTTTCTTCATTCTCTTTATTCTCCTCTTCTTTATTTTCTTCATCCTCCTTTTTATTTTCTTCATCCTCCTCTTTATTTTCTTCATCCTTCTCTTTATTTTTTTTATCCTTCTTTTCATTTTCTTCATTCTCATATTCATCATCTTTATTTTCTCTTCCTTTATTTTCTCTATTCATCTCTTTTTTGTTCTCTTTATCCTCATATTCATTTTTTTCCACATTTTTTCTTTCTTTATTTTTCCTATTCTCTTCATTTTTATTAGGTTGAGACATAGTATTAAGAGGTATACCCTTTGACCAAAAGATATGCCCTATCATGTAATATAGAACCATTATATAATTGGTTAATTATCAAATTAGCCAATTAGAATTAAAGTCTACTATTGCTAATTACAATAATATATAATATAAATATCTATAGAGGGTGTGCCCTAGACATAGAGAGCATATTCTTTGCAAAAGCTAGTGATTTAAACCAGTTGGGCTATAAACAGTTAACTGACCTAACCTGAATAAATTTTGGATAACTGATTGAGTAAGTCCTTAATTGATTGACCCATACAACTATTAATATAATATAAATTGCATTAGCAATAAGCAAGGGTTCTAAAAAGTTTTGAAAAGCAAAATAAACACAAATAGTAAAGCAAAAATTTGAGTAAATATCTGAGAATTTCTGAAGGTAAAGTATGAAGTAATCTTAGCTAATTACAATTGGTTGATATCAAATATTTCAGTTCGGTTAACCAATTAAGGAATTTTTTCTTAGTTCAAATCACTAGCAAAGGCATGCCCCAAAAATTTGCTGTACCTCAACTCTAATTTTTATTCTCTTTATTGATTTCATCTACTTTCTCTTCAAAATACTCTGTATTTTTCATATATTTCAATATATTTTCCCAAAGATTATCTTTGTTTTGCTAACACCAGATGAATTCATATAAATGATTTAAAATTTTAAACTTTACATGGCTTCTTGATAGAATCTATTACAAAAAAAAAAAAATGACCAGAGGTTTATTTTGAATTATAGCCTAAGTTAATTTAATGCAAACTATAATTTAAAATAATATTTTTGGATATTTTTTTCATCTATAAATTATTATTTGCAACCTGTTATTATCTGTTTTAATGAAGTATACAATTAAATTGACTAAATTTTTAATTTATATTACTAACCTGGATTTTAATACTATTCTAGATTCCTTCAATTGTGTTCGTATAGATGCCAGTAATAGGGTTAACAAAATTTAAACTATAATTTACTGTTTGGTGCCAAAACTCTAAATTAGAATCTATTTTTGTATAGACATGCCAAAGGTCTGAATAGATAATAGATCCTAGGTTTATATTTTCTTCAATTAAACATAGTAGAGTCTTAGCAGATCTGTTATTAACAGCTATTGCAAACATTCTTCTTTCCAAAGTCCTTTCTATATCACCAAAAATCTAAACTCTCTTAACACGATAATTGTAATTGTATTTTTATTTATCAAATTTAGACTCATCTATTTTCACTATAATGTCTAGGCCCCCAATTTTATCTTGGGTTTCTTGAACATCAAAACCGACAAGCATTCTATAATTAAAAATAATTTTAGAATAAGGTGAAATCTGAGTTGCGAATTAGGGTGAAATCTGCGTTTTATTATATTTTTATTATATAAAAGCAGATTTCATTCTTGTGTGATGATTATAGCAGATTTTACTATTTCGCAACTTAGGTTTTACCTTATTATATAATTTTTGTTAGTAAGTATAAAGATAAATTAAAAAATTATAATAATAATAACTTTATTGTTAACAACTTATAATAACTGATATAATCAGTTATTATATTTGGTAAATAGCCCATGATAGTTATAATTAAACTATGCAATGCCTTGAAAAGCTATAAATAGACGATTAAAAGGGCATCATTAGCCTTTAATCAATTTTTAGAAAAAAATGAGTTCTTAAAAATCAATACATCTTTTCTATACCTTTTTTTTCGACATTGAAAAATTTTATCACGTCTTGTCATTTTAATACCACATACACTACACATAGGCTGTTTATACAAAATCTCTTTACTAAATAAGAAATTAATACAATTTTCTTCATTAAAAAGGATATGTTGAAGCGATAATAGTGTAGATATCATTTTTAAAAGAATATGAACAATGATAATAAAGATCTGTAAGTATCTTTTATTTTAATCTAATAGAATTTTTTAATAATACTATTTAATATTAAAAAAATCTAAGAATTTAAATTCTGCGAGTTAGTAATTGTATCATAATTTTGTAATAGTGTTTTATTGTTTTTTTAAATCTTCAAAAGCTATATAGATTAGATTGCAATTTTTTATTTTACAAGCATAATAACTGCGAGCATATATTTAATAGCAATATAGACATATCGGTTTATAAAAAATTATAAAATAGTACAAAAGTACTTGAATTTGGGTAAGCTATATTATATTTTTACAAAATAAAGATTATTAATTTAGATTTTGTAAAAAAGAAAGTTGAAACTACTATTTGGACTATGAAAATATATTACTACTATATAAATATTATAACTTTGTTTTTGGACAATTAACTTATACTTTACTGAAACTTGCAAATTTGCAACTTTAAAGCTACTTGTAATTAGCTATAAAGTAACTATAAAGTAACTA